CAGGCCTAGCGTATTAGCTGAGTGTGTCAGCCGATTGCTCTCAGCCAATGAGTTAAGCCCAGCACTCTCCTGTAGGCTGTAGTGGGGAGCAGTTCCCATCAGACCCCAAGTGAGAAGTCAAACAATTCTAAAACGATATGATTACTAACATTTAGTGGGACTCCAAGGCATTCCTGACATCATAATCACGACAGCACACTGTTTAAGTAGTTATGGTGCTTGTTATATTAATTTAATGAGTTATTGAATCTGTGATCCGAAAATTATCATAGAACAAATAAACAATTTATCAGGGGAAGAGCAATTTGTTTATTGCCACACTACAGTATACAGGAAATGAGCGAAAACATTTTTGGCCTTTGTCAAGACCATGGAATAGACCTTATTTGTAACACATTGTATTATATAATGTGTATATACATTTTCTAGACTTCCTTTTCTGCAAGAACTCAGTGTGACAAACTCCCCTTTTCCTGTGAGTTTGCCACGAGTTTTTGGAGGGGTTTGCTTGCTTGCCTCCTACCCTGTGACCATGGGCCCTGCAATATACATTGCCCAATAAACTTTAAAAGGCTCCATTCATGTAATGTAAGTACTTTTGTACTCCACAAAGAGAGACCGACCGCTGGCCCTAGTTCCCTGGAACTGTTTTGGGCATGAAGCCATGCTTACATCCGGTCAAAAAGAGACTTCCATGAAACTTTTGAACCCCTGCTCTGATCTGGGTGATTTTTGAATATGTTGTTCACCCAGATCAGGGCTATCCGGGGATGGTTTTGGGGGTATGTTATGTTTTGGGGTACTTTCTGAACTTTGTGAAAATTAGATTTTTTTTCTGCCTGGAGATAATTGAGTTACTTACAGGACTTTACTCAATTATCTCCCATGCAGACGAGAGGGATTGTGTGCTGTACATGGGCGTGTCACAGACTGTATGTTTCTTCTAATTGGTTTGTGTCCTTTGTGTTCCTGTGCCCCATCAGATCCAGGGGTGTTCCTCTGGCCTGGAGAATTGTATAAAAGCCAACCTGAACCATTAAAGATCAGATCATCTTGCACCTTCATGAAGTCTAGGCTCATGTTTGGGGGATTGGAGAACTACACTCTGGGGATTGCTATAATCACTATACTCCCCTGAGTATAATCACTAAGCTCTTGTAAGAGCTGTTCCTGCTACTCTCTCGGCACTAAGAGAGGCCTACCCACTGGAAGATAAATCCTGGTCTTGGGTCCAGGGTGGGTGGAGGACGGCAAGATCCCAACCAAGCTGCGGCGGTTCGTGGGGTTTACGGTGGTTATGGTGTTCCAGTGCAGTGTTTATGGTATTCGCCAGTACTAGGAACCAGTGATTGACGGAGGTACCTGGTTGGGGTAACAGGCGGTCCGTCACACTCAGCAATGTGGATATTTGTTGTTATAAGTTTCAATGCATGCTGTAATTAAACATATAAAATAAAATGCAGTGTATATATGAACTATTTCAGAAAAAGCACAATATTGGACAAAGAGGGCTGAGACGGACAAATGGTATCATTAAGACACAAGCACTGCTTCCTGTAGTGCCTTCCCTGTGTTTCATGGGAAACCTGCCCTTATTTTTCTTATTTTTAGACCATTCACAAAATGTTCTTCTTTTGTGAGATAACTGTTGACACCTTAATGTGTGAAGTACTGTGAACCACTTTTCTTTATTCAGCGAAGTTAGCATTAGTTTATAGCTTCGAACCGTCTTTTCAAGACTGTAAGAAACAATTAGGAACAGAGTCCAAATATTTAGCTTTAGATGTCTCATCACAGAGATATTTTGACACGAAGCCATCATTTACATTATTTACCATTTAGAAATAAACCTAAATATTTAAAAAGTAACATTTAAAAAGTATCCAAAATATAGTTTTTTTTAATAAAATATATTTTTTTAAAGTATCTGAATTTCTTAAGTTTTATTTTAATACGGTTTTATATGTCTATACAACAATGTTTATGTACATAATAACAACATTGCAAACTACCATAGCATCATATACAGTAGATATGTTTGAAAATAAATTCACAGGAATCGATCAGTAATCACCAAAACTGACAGCAAAATGAATGTTAAGATCAGGACAGAGGAAACGCAAACCCAAATGAAAATATATTATATATTATACAGAGTCCCTCCTGAGTACAACAAGCCATAATTCAGGAATTCAGTGTTAGGAGTGGAATAATTATAGACAAAATAAAACGTTAAAGAATAATAGTGGTCCTTTCTGTAATAGAGATAAAGAATAGTGTTCACTTATGTAACATATGGGCAGCCAACACAACAAGTCTATGTCATATTTATTTTTACTTCTGTCTATAAAAAAAAAAAAAAAAACACATATCAACTAAGCTCTCTGGGTCCATCTAGTGGCTTAAAGGAAAATTTGAAAAGTCAGAAAAGAGTAGGTGTGGTTTTATAGTGAATATAATGAGATCCCTGCAATTGGACTTTGAGCACAAATAAAATATGATTAATCATTTAGTCATGAGCAGTAGTTCATCTACATAATACTAGTAGGCGTATTCCTCTCTTTTGACTTGCAGTTTTCCTGGTACATGCTAACACGTGGCAGCTACACCTGTTTAAATGAATGGTCTAAATGGATAAACATGTAAAAAAAAAACACTTGTATAGCTCCGAGTGTAGTACCCCCTAATTGCAAACTAAAGGGAATTTATCACTAAATATACACCATTCATTTAAACACTGAAAGTGATCTTTAAAATGTATTAACCATTTGTCATGCTCTGTTTTAATGTTAATTAATTTAAAGGGTTACTCCAACCCTGATTCAAAAATAATGAATATGCTTTCTAAGTGCCCTATCGGCGTACCTATCAAGCCCTCCCCCTGCATTAACCTTCAAAAAAGGTTAATGTCACACAGCACTCGAATCGACTAATCACTGTTTTCTCATAGAGTGTTTCCCCGAGCTGACGAGGAAGAATGGGGAGGATGGGGGGAGGATTTCTCCTATTTTGTGAACAGCAAGAGGTTGGAGGGAGTGCATAGAGTTTGGGAGGAAAGAGATACATTCCCTTTGTAGGCGCTCTGCCTGCAAGGGGAACATTTCTACGTCTATTGACAGCGTGCAGTGCGCACTGATAACAGATGTACAATATGCACAGAACTGACATTAGGCAGCCGGGAACTTAGGGGGTGCAACTTAATTGCCACAGCACATAATTAGAAATGTCTTTGTATGTGCAGTGTTACAAGCAGACACACAGCACATACATAGTCCTACCACTATGAATTCTTCAAATCACTGCAGTGGTCATGGTGGTTGGAGTAACCCTTTGACTAAAAGAGGACAGAAGAGAGCTTATATGGACTATGGTGTTGGGAAATAAGACAAGAGGGATAATCCCCAAAACTAGTTATGAACTTGTTTTGTTTCTTTAATTTAAATGTATATCAAATATTTAACAAATGACAGCTCAATCCAGTGCAAGTCAGGGCACACCTTGACAGGTGTAAAGGCTGTTTTTTTTAATGTAAGAAATTGACAGGAAACCAAGATGGAGGCACTCAGTTCCAGGATAGCTATAAACAGCAGTGTGACTTCCTTCACAGACACATATTTAAAAAACAAACAAAATACTGAACAGTTCTCCTTTCAGCTAAATTCCCCATATTTCACCAAAAATTACAATTTGTGGTTAGGTTAAACTTTAGTGTCTGCGGCTTGCTGGTAGTCAAAGAGTTAAAACATATATGTGAATAAAATGGACCCTCTTTTAATGAGGATTATGCTAGATGTATGCTCCCCCACAGGGCCGCCACCAGAAATTTTAGGGCCCCTAACTCAGCTCAGGGTCTGGGCCCCCTGGGGCCCGCCTCCAAACCCACCCACAGGGTCCGCCTCCAAATCCCGCCCACAGGAATACACACACACACAGACACAAACACACACACTGATACAGACATACACGCATATAGGCATACTTTCTAAGACATACACACATATACAGACACATAGGCATACATAGTGACAGACACATATTAACATACATACAGACACACATGCATGAGGACATACAGACACATACATACACACACTGACATACACACATCGACATACATACATACATACATTTATAATGACGTACAGACATACATACATTCATACTGGCATACATACATATATACATACATACAGACATACTGACATATATACATACATTCATACAGACAGACATACATGCATACAGACACGGACATACATACATACACAGACATACATTCATAATGGCATACATGCATATATACAGACATACTGACAGACATACATACATATGTTCAGACATACTGACATACATGCATACTGACATCCATACACACATACATTCATAATGACATGCAGACATACATTCATACTGACATGCAGACATACATTGATACTGGCATACATACATACAGACATACAGACATACAGACATTGATACTGGCATAAATACATACAGACATACATAAATACATACAGACATACATAAATACAGACATACATACATACAGACATTGATACTGGCATAAATACATACAGACATACATACATACAGACATACAGACATACATACATACAGACATACAGACATACATACTAACACACACACAGAGAGCTAATTTTTCAGCCACCCTCCTGTCTCTTACCTTTTTTTGCAGGAGGGTGGCTGGGGCTGATGGGAGTAGTCAGCACGGCTCTCCCTCACGGCCTGGCTGGCGGTCCTCCCACGCGGAGTGAGCTTGGAGGAAGTGACCACTTCCTCCCAGCAGCACTTGCTGCAGCTGCGTTTTTTTTTTTTTAAAGGGGCCCGGTCGTGCTACACCACGGCCACAGCGCTGACCTGGCCCCTGAAGATATAGGGCCCATCGGGTGGCCCTAAGTGCGCGGGCCTCCCAATGGGCCCCATCAGAGTGTGGGCCCCGGTGCAACTGCACCGGCGGTAATTCCGCCGCTACATGTCGGGCCTGGGCGGCCGGGCCCCCCAGGGCCACCGTGGCCATGACAACTGTCATGGTTGTCACCCGCTGGTGGCGGCCCTGCTCCCCCATTTACCTCACACCACAGTCAACAGTCTGAGAGCTCATATACACATCATCCGCTCATGTTGTCATGCTCATTTGTCTATTAAAGAAACTATGTGATCCACAAGTCATGTTAACGGACAAGAAGAATATTTTTCATGGTTCCTACCATGCCATATGGTAAACATATGACAGGGAAGCAGTTAAGTAATAAATTAGAGGCACAGACCCCACCTTACATGTTCCATTTTATCCCTGGCTGCTAGGATACATCCCTGTATTTCCTGAGCCATGCAAGCTCTTAGACAGTGTGAGAAACAGTAAAATAATTGACAATTCTTTGTCAAAATTCAGAAATACTGACCAGAGCACCTACAGAGAGATTTACAGGGTAATTTGCCAAATATCAGACTTTGTTTGAAAGGCAAATATTCAAAATGTCCGAATTCCGGACAAAATAGAAATGATAATTTTTACTAAGAATTCTGGTAAAAATTCTGGTGATCCAACCAATTATTTGTTATTCGGTCTGAAGCATTCAAGTTCTGGTTTAAAAATCAGTGTTTTTGTATCCACACCCAACACAAAGTACAGTATAGGACTTAGAGTAGGTACAAAACACTGATTTCAAACACAATCAGGACTGAGTGTACCCAGCAGGATTCACATTCACACATTCTAGTTCACTTGTGTTTGATTATTTGGAATAAAAAGCCTATAGGGTAAAATTATTCCAATATCATAATGAGGGCAGACACCACCTCCATGTCACAAGTGTGGACATACCTACTGAATAAGGAGCAGCTGGTTGTTGCTCACTGTAACAAGCCATACCTGCTCAGTCACTAGAAGGCCCCATCCATGGGGGTAGAACAGATCACTGTCCACACCAGTGCCCCCTCCCGTGGCTTCCGGGTGGGGACTATTATATTTTTTTAATGGGTGGTCATCCTAATATACTTATTATAATAAATGGAGAGGACCTTCTGTCCCCCAGTCCCCACCCATTGGTGGTGGATGGGGGCTATTAATATTATAATACCAGTGAGGTCTAGTGCCCCCCCCCACCGTAGGCATTGGTGGAGGGCTGGGGTTATAAATATTATACCCCTCGTAGCCCACAAACAATCCTGTGGGGGTTATTGCTATAATAATACTGGGGGGAACCAAGTGTTTTCCCCCTAGCCTTTACCCTTGGTGGTGGGTGTGGGCTATTCATATTATAATACCAGAGGTGGAGCCAACATTTCCCAGGCCCCACCCATTTGAAGCAGGTGGAGGCTGTTAATATTATAATACCAGAGTGACCTAATGTCCCCCTTGAGCTCCCTAGCCCCAGGTGGCTGAACATCCCTAACCCTCTAAACAACACCCATTCAAATAAAAATATTACAACTACCCCCCATTCACCCTAATAATAATGAGGGGGCAATAAAACAAATAACTGTATGTCTTTCATCTTAAGTATTCTTTTCTTCAGCACAAAAAAAAGACCAAAAAGAATCCATAGCATCTCGAGGTTACTAATCAAAATCGCAAACAAACTGATGAAAAAATTCATGTGAGGCAATTGAAGGCTCCACGTAGAATGAGTCAGTAATAGCCTATATAAAGCCTTTCACACTTTAAAATATCAGCAGAGTGCTCTGATTGGTTGTTGTAAGCCAATCAATCAGAGTTCTTTGACTGGCAAGTCTTACTTCTCTCGGTGCACTGAGGGGAGTCCTCCCCCTTATTTTAGAGGTCCCATCAACTTTCTAGTGATTAAGCAACAATGGATGTCCAATCACAAGAGTTTAGTAGATATGACCACACCTACAGCATAGCAAGAGGGGAATACGGGAGGTTTTATTAACCCCGATATTCTTATTTTTATTATTTTTTAAATTTTTTGTGGTGGCGGGCTAGCAGCAACAAGGACCATATCCAGACTGCCTGGGAGCAGTGGCGGACTAAGGGGGGGGCGGAGGGGGTGGTCCGCCCTGGGTGCCACCTGGTAGGGGGGTGCCATAACCCAGGTCTGAGAGATAAAGGGGGCTGTGTGAGCTGCGCCCCATGGCAGCTGGGGTGTCACACAGCTCACACAGAGACCAGCACGCTAAACTGGCAGCACGGGAGGAAGAAGGGGCGGAGCTACTGATATTTAGGGGTGGGGCCTAACCACAAGCAGGTGCTGCTGTTAATGCTGCACATGGAGGTGCAGCAAGTAGAAATCCCTGCACTTCCACCTACCAGGACTTCAATGAATCCACTCCTCCAGCCCACACTGTAAGTAAGTATAAGAGTGTGTGTGTGTGTGTGTGTGTGTGTAACTGCCTGAAACTGTGTGTGTGTGTGTATGACTGTCTGAAACTGTGTGTGTAACTGCTGTGAAACTGTATGTGTGTGTGTAAATGTGTGTGTAACTGCCTGAAACTGTGTGTGTGTGACTGTCTGAAATGTGTGTGTGTGTGTGTGTGAGAGACTGTCTATCTGTAACTGTGTGTGTGTGACTGTCTGTCTGTAACTGTGCGTGTGTGTGAGACTGTCTTTCTGTAACTGTGTGTGTGTGTGTGTGACTGTCTGTCTTGTGTGTGTGTATAACTGTCTGCCTGTAAATATGTGTGTGTGTGTGTAACTGTCTGCCTGTAACTGTGTGTGTGTGCGTAACTGTCTACCTTTAACTGTGTGTGTGTGTGTCTGTGTAACTGTGTGTATGTACGTAACTGTCTACCTGTAACTGTGTGTGCGTACCTGTCTACCTGTAACTGTGTGTTTATGTGTGTGTATGTGTTTGACTGCATGCCTGTAACTGTGTGTGTGTGACTGTCTGTGACTGTGTGTGACAGTCTGCCTGTGACTGTGTGATGCTGCCTGTAACTGTGTGTTACTGTCTGCCTGTGACTGTCTGCATGTAACTTTGTGCGTGACTGCCTGTAACTGACTGTGTGTGTAACTGCCTGTAACTGTGTGTGTTTGTGGCTGTAACTATGTGTATGACTGTCTGCCTGTGACCGTGTGTGTGACTGTATATGTGACTGTCTGCCTGTAACAACGTGCGTGACTGTGTGTAACTGCTTGTAACTGACTGTGTGTGTGTGTGTGTAACTCTCTACCTGTAACTGTGTGTATGACTGCCTGTGACTATATGTGTGACTGTCTGCATGTGACTGTGTGCGTGTGACTGTCTGCTTGTAACTGTGTGTGACTGTCTGTCTGTAACTGTGTGTGAGGGGGTGCAGGGATTTTGTAGAGGGGGCAGGGGTTTTAAAAAGTTTACAAATTTGTTCAATAAATGTTTTTAAAAATGTAAAAAATATAACACATTATAAAAATGTAGTAGGTTTTTTTTTTTTTTTGAGAAGGGGGGGGGAGTGGGGGTGCCAAACCCAGGACCCGTCCCGGGTGCCACATGCCCTAGGTACGCCCCTGCCTGGGAGCCTGCTCTGCAAAATAGCGGCAACAATGTCCAGAGTTCGAATGGTTCTATACAGCACTGGATGATTTTCCCAATCCGGTGCGGGAACATTTAGTGAATAACCCTATTAATTTCCCAATTTCACCCGAGCTGTAATAGAAGAGTAATCAGAGTTTGTTACATGTATACACAGGGTTGATAAAGAAATAGTTCATTTGTTGTTCTCTGGTGCTATCCAGGGAGAATAGTGTATAAATAAAATACTACTACTTTTCAAGAGCTAATTTGAATACTGTATAGGGTGATCTCAATAAACAGTTTCTTTCATTGGCAGCATTTTATTTAGTTCATTATATATATTCAGAAGCATGAAAGTAGATTAAAGTAAAAAGCTCCTGCTTGTATTATAGCTAACTGACATAGTCTCCCTTGAGACCCAGTGGGTTTCACTCAGGCTAAGCATGGCAGACTCGTCATACTCACTTGTTCTAATCAAGAATTGACTATAGAGTTAATTTTATATTAATATAAACTGCCGATGGTAATTGCATCAAACGCAATTGCCTGCAAGATCCTTTAAAGGGACACCCTAAGCATCATAACAATTTAACTTAAAGTGAACGTCTTGACAGATTCAGTTTAGCCTAATCCCTCCAAAAATGCATTAAATATATCATATATCACAGATAACAATGTATTCTATGTAAAATATTTTGATGTAAACTGATCTCAGCTCCAGTCCAGTGGTTTACTAAGTCGGTGGTGGGTCGGGGGCAGGGGCAGGGGCAGTGGCCGGGATGGAAATGGTCTGCCCCGCATGCCAGCATCAGAGGGGTGCGATCTTCCAGTGACCAGAAGGAGGGGAGTGCTGTGCACAGTGCTCCCCTCCTGCCGGTCACAAAATATAGCATGGCCAAGCAGATGGACTGTGGTAGACGAGCCTCTGTTCCCCTACCTGGTCCGACAGGAAGTGCTCACTGAGAGCACAGAACTGCTTCCTGTCGGACCTGGTACAGGATGCAGAGGCTCCTCCACATCAGACTGCCCTGCTCAGTTTAGGCATAGTAGGGGAAATGGCTAAATAGGGCATGGGGGATGAGCCAAAAAAGGATATAGGAGGAGAAGGGGCTAAATATGGCACGGGGGGGACAAAGAAAGGTCACAGGAGGGGAGGGGGACTAAATATGGCACAGATGAAGAAAAAAGGGCACAGGAGAGGGGCTAAAGAGGGCACAGGGGGAACAAAAATGGCACAGATCGGGAGGGTGGCTAAAGAGGGCACAGGTGACAAAAAAAGGCACAGGAGGGGAGAGGGCTAAAGATGGTACAGGGAGACAAGGAATGGCACATGAAAGGGGCTAAAGAGGGCACAGTAGGGGGTACAAAGAAGGGCACAGGAGGGGAGGGGGGCTAAAGCAGGCACAGGAGGAGAAGGGGATATAGAGAGCACAGGAGGAGGTACAAAGAAGGGCACTGGAGAGGAGGGGCTAAAGAGGGCACAGTAGTGGGGACAAAGACGGGCACAGGAGGGGAGGGGGCTAAAAATGGGTACAGGAGGAGGGATAAAGAAGGGCACAGGAGGGGAGGGTGGATAAACAGGACACAGGAGGGGGCTAAAGAGGGCACAGGAGGAGGGAAAAAAGGGCACAGGAGGGGAGATGGCAAAAGAAGGGAACCAAAGGGGAAGACACACAGGGGCTAGGGGCACAGAGAGACACACAGATCGTCTGAGGGGCACTAACGTGTTAGAGAGACCTCTCTCCAGGGCCTGTTAGTCTCCATTGTAGTCTCTAATGGGGCCTTGAGGGGACTCTTTCTAACAAACAAATTTGTCCAGTAAACTGTGGGTGTTTATTACATTTTAAAGTTGGGATAGGGAGCAAACATAGGAACTGCCAAATGCTCTAGGTACACCCCTGCTCCAGTCCAGTAAGGCCATGTTCTCAACTTTGTGTATTTCACTTTTATAGCACCCACCTCTGGTCCACCCACCCTCTGCCAATGCACTGCTTTGTTTTGCCTGTCTTTGGAACTCTTCTAAAGTAGGGCAAACCTCCTTTATGACTCTGGTACATTGGCTTCATTGCCAGCATGCCAGGATCTGAACGTAGCTAGCTAGAAAGTATATGGACAGAGTAATATCAGTAACTCTATCCCTATACTCCTTAGCAAGAGCTAGTACTCTCGCCGAGGAAGTATCTGTACAGCATGTGCTATGGTTGAACAAAAGATAAGATGCAAGAAAATACTAAGAGCAAACAACACTTCAAATAGCCTGTCCTTCTGTGGATTCCTGCACACTTATCAGGCTGGTTTTAGCTCATTTTGTGGCATTACAGAGAGAACCTAAGCCATTTGCATATCGGACTGATCCTATCAATATGGCAGTCAGATCCAAAATTCTCTGCACGTAAGATACAGCGACCCCGGTCAACCATTACAGCCTTGCAATGCCTCGTCAGTGAGGTATAGCCGATACTCCTCTAGGCACCATGAACAACAGGTCTACGTCTGGATTTACCTTTAAACTTAGGGAGAGGAAATAACACAGTGTGCAAGAGAATACTGAGAATGGGCAACAGTTCAAGTAGCTTGCACTTTAGTGGGTCAACGCTCAGTTCTCAAGCTAGTTTTAGCTCATCTAGAGCCATTTGGAGAGAACGTAGGATATTTGCATATCAGACTGAACATGCCAAAAAGGGCTGTACAGAAATTAAATGCAGGCTGTCTTTCTCGGCAAGAATGTGCTATGGTTGTATTGTATGGCAAGCTTGAGGATCATCTGTCGGAGGTCTCCCGGCTCTGCCTGCCAGAGAATAATAGTCGGAGAAAGACCTATTTTAATAAAAAACATTTTAATTCCAATCTATATATTTGATAGCATTTCTGCTCTTTAAAATTAGCACATGTTATGTGTATCATTATAGGTACATTTCAATGTATCAGTCTTGTATGTAGAACATGCCCCTGCAATATCACTGCTCAGTTCCATTTAGGAGTTAAAGCAGCTTTATTATGCACTCTACAGCTCTCCAAGGTGTAACTCACCTAGCCTCAATAAAAATAAGGTATAATTTTGAATCAGATCATACAACACAGTGTTTTTCCTTTAGAAATTCTTAGTGATCTTTTCAGAGGACTCCTAAAACTTGGAACTGGTCACCCTTCGGGAGTTGGTGAGTTGGGAGTAGAAGCAAAACTAAAAACATAAAGAAGGATGTCACACATGTCAATTGTACCGTATATGGATAAATCAAAAGATAAAAAGAAAAAAATCAAACCTTTAGCCAAACACCAGTGTGCTTACGTTAGGAGGTCTTATCTCCTACAGTGTTAATTAAAGGGACACTATAGTCACCAGAACAACTACATCTTATTGTATAAAGTGAGTATAATCATTGCCTTCAGGCTTTTTGCAGTAAACAGAAAATGCATTACATTACAGTCTAGTGATAACTCCACTAGCCACTCTTCAGATGGCTGCTAGAGGTGCTTCCTTGGGCAGTGCACACTGTGCAGTACTGACAGTGAGTATCTCCACCCTCTGCATTCAGACACTGAACCTTTCCCATAGACATGCAGTGATTCAATTCATCTCTACGAGGAGTTTCTAACTGACCAGAGCTGTGTTTGACTTGTGCTGGCTCTGCCCCTGATCTGCCTCCTTGACAGTCTCAGCCAATCCTATGGGAAAGCATTGGGATTGGCTCATAAAATCACTTCTGATGATGTCAACTGTAAGCAACTTACTTGAATAAGATTTTAATAATTCATATTGTGGGGGGCAGCTAGATGGTGTTTTTAACATTATAGGGTCAGGAATACATATTTGTGTTCCTGACCCTATAGTGTTCCTTTAAACTTTAAACACAAGGGAGCCTGCTGCATTTTTTTATCAGACAATTAAAAGAGCAGGAGATGAGAAATACTAACTAAAACACACAGTGCATTAATAAAAGCTAAAGATTTAGACTCTTTTTCAGGAAGTGTGAGGATGTTGTGTACGTCACATGCCAGGAGGTTTTACTAGGGCTGCATAAGAAAAGGGATTTAGAAACTAAATGGCAGAGATGATCTTTACACCAAAACTGTTTTATTTAGCTAAAGTTGTTTTGGGCGAATAGAGTGTCCCTTTAAGAGGCTCCTAGCTCCTTACATTGGATGTCCTGTGAACTCTAAAGGGTAACACGCGTCAAGGTTGACATCTACATGTCTGCAATGGGTATTTTTAATAAAACTCCTGACTTTCCTAAGAAGAACATTTGTACATTTATCCCACCTGCCAACATGTTTTATTCTAATATTATATTTTCTATGCTCACTCTTTGTTTCTTAAAGAATACATCACAATAAACAAAAGTAACTATAATACTGCGCTGTGGATATTCTTTTCAGTGGACCTTCTTTTTTTACCTTTACTTTAATGTTTTACTGAACCCTGGCTGCCAGGAATAGCTTTTTTTTATTTTTGTGATATTTAACAGTGTGTTTTACTGTATGCGTCCATTGTCCTCCATTGTCTAAATGAGAACCGCATCAGCATTGATTCTAACGCTTTCTCGGTTGGTTAAATGACTCATTGCTGACTTGTATTGCTTGAACATGGAATAACAATTACACAGTATGGAACAATGATGCCAGCTATCATCGTCTTTACTTTTTACAGTCTATTATTTATAGATAAATACTTATTTCTTTCTCACTATTACAGCGGACTCAGGACTAACAATGCAATCGTGCTGAAATGGTTCTCAGGACCCCACACAAGTCTCCAGCCCCTATCGCCCCCCACCATCCCTCCCATGCATCGTTCCTGCAAACTAACTCTTGGGTCGGGGTAGACAACATTCGGCACTCCACATGTTGTGGAGTACATCTCCCCTGATGCTTTGCCAGCATTATGGGTGTAAGAGAATTATGGGCGATGTAGTCCACAACATCTGGAGTGCTGAAGGTTGCCTACCCGTCTTGATAGAGGTAATCTCTCAATGTACTAAGGGGATGACTGGGAAGGGAGATCTTTTCATCCCACTGCAAACTCAGAAAGCAACCCCTCACAGACAGATCACCAGGCAGACAGGGACCCAGGGACCCTTAGGCATCCACCACTGCCACTTAACCCCTTAAGGACACATGACGTAAATATTCCATCATGATTCCCTTTTATTCCAGAAGTTGTGTCCTTAAGGGGTTAAAGGGGAATCTAGCTGCGTCCAAAGCACAGCTTGATCAGTCCGTAAGACTCACCTTTGCAGTTGATTTACTTAATGCAGAGTTAACGCAGTGTGCCAGTGTCTGTTGTTTTATAGACGAACAGACAGAATGGTAGATAAAGACAGAGTTGGTCAAGTCTGCACTAGGCTTTCAAATAATATAAATAGGCTGCACACAGTCCTGTAGTTAGATGTTTAATTGCCAATACATGGACCTCTCACACCTCTTACTATGAATCAAAATAAAAAATGTATTACACTATGACAAGGAAGTGTTTTCTCACTATTATAAACTAGATTTCAAAATCACCAGATTATTGATACAGTATGAAGGTGTGCAGTTTAGACTGGTCTTTAGAGCGCTTCTATTCGTGATGAAAGGATATAGTATACCTGAACAAATTGCTCTCTGTATTGTCATGACTAACAAAGACACAACTTATGTTATATATGTCTTTTTTTGTGCTTGCTTACCAGCTATTGATTTGACTTATGCCTTATGGATTTTATTTTGCAAAGGTTATACATGGAGTGAATGAATGTGGAACGGAAGTGAATTTTCTAATTGCAGCTGGTTTCTTGTTTAATAAACCAATAAAAGCAATTCATAAACAATATACCTTTTGGCAGACAGAAAGATAAAGTATTTATATTCATATAAAATCTACATCCCAAAATTTAGGTTATGCTTCAATTAAATGTGATAATAAAAAAAAAAATAATGGTTGTGTTCCTAAAAAAAAAGTCAGATAATTATATACAGTTTCAAGTTTTTATACCTTGCAGGGCTTGTCTTGGGATGTAATTTATTTTACCTCTGAAATAAACTTGAGCAAAAAGCAATTTAAAGTTATACTTCAAAAGCCAGCATTTGGGGACCTACTGTGTGAATATCTAAGCGTGAACATTTGCTGAGAGGCTATGCGTCCTTTAAATTGGGAAACTAAACAGTCAGGATGCAACAATTTTGTAAAGTAATATATTATAAAGTCAAAACACAGTGAAATGTTGCCTGTTATATTTAAGGATAAAATAAGCATGTTCAGAATAACAATATATTGATTTGTTTGTATATAATTTCTAGGTTCCTTTAAAAATGAATAAATATATATAGAGTTAGCTTCAGAAATATTTGGACACTGAAGTTTAGTTTTTTTGTCTGTTTACCAAATTAAATTTAAGTTATAGTTAAATAATGTATATGGGCTTAAAGTGCAGTCTATGCACTTCCAAATTAGAGGAAATGTTTAGGAATCACAGCTCTTTAATATGTAGCCCCCTCTTTTTCAAGGGACCCAAAGTAATTAGACAGTTGACTCAAAAGTTGTTTCATGGACAGGTGTGAGCTATTCCTTTGTTATGTCTTCATCAATCAAGCAGGTAAAATGTCTGGAGTTGATCCTAGTATGCATTCGTATTTGGAAGTTGTTGCTGTGAACCTACAACATGCGGTCAAAAGAGCTCTAAATGCAAGTGTAACAGGCCATCCTTAAGCAGCAAAAATCCATCAGAGAGATAGCAGGAACATTACGAGTGGCAAAATCAATCATTTGGTACAGTCAGAGTCAGAGAAAAAATAACGCACTGGAAAACTCTGCAACACAAAAAGTCCCGGACTTCCACGGAAAACAACAGTGGCGGATGATCATAGGTTCCTTTCAATGGTCAAGAAAATCCTCTTCACAACATCCAGCCAAGTGACGTACACAGACATCGCTAGAGCAAATACAGAGATGACATCAGTCCGGAAAAGGTCCAGCCATTGTGAATATAACGAGAAGGGTGTGCATGACATCCATGTAACTTGGCAGCCAAGGAGAGTCGGCTGGAATGTGCATTACAACTTCACTGTACTAGATGCCACAGAGTGAGCATTTGTACTGCGTGGCGGTATATTCAAATTGACCAAGTGAGTAGAGCAACAAGTCTGCATCAAATTTTGCATTAAGCTTGAGCATTCCTTCACAGAAACTAGTCGGATGATTCAGAAGCTTTCAGGGACAATGTAATGAGTGCAGCACAAATAAAAATTGTGGCAGAAATGCTTCAAAGAAGGTTGAAAATCTGTTGAAAGATTTGGTTCCCTTGCTTTTCCCAAAACTAAAATCACCTTAGAAAGGCAAGAGATTCCGGTTGATCGTCAATAAGATTCAGGTAAACACGACAAGGTAACTAATGTCGATTCCAACAAAGGATTTTAGAGAGTGTTTTGAACAGTGGAAGAGACCCTGAGAGAACTGTGTGAGGTCCAAGGTGCCTACTTTGAAGTGTGGAGGCGTCATTGTCCCATTGACAATATTT